GCTATACCTATCAAAATGCTCATCGCTCCTCAGTGGAGAAGAGGCCACGTCTGCTTCCCTTTCCGAGATCGTAACTTCCCTGTAAGTTGTGATTCTAACCTGAAAGTAGCAATTCTTCGTGACCTCCGTTCAGCTCAGGTGTATGGTTCGGCTTCCACGCTACGGAAGAAGGGATCCCGTATACTGGCATGTTCTACCTGAAAATTGCAGCGTCGATCCGACCGGGTCAAACCGATGTTATCACCATCGCGGGCGAAGGAAGCTCTTTTGGCCCCACCGTGGAAAAAGTGGGGATGATTGAGGGGACTGCAACCCCAACACCGAACGACGTCCACATAAAAGTCGAGTTCAAACAGGGATTCGACTCTGATGAGTACGGTTATCAAGGCATTTTTGCCCTGGACCTGCACATTATCAATGGGTCATGCGCTTCTCTTAAATCGGACGATTATCGGAACGGGCACTTCCTCCTCAAAAAAACGCCCACGGACAGCATAATGTGCCATCGGCCACTCTTTCCGAGGCCGCTCAATGCTAGAGAATTATGGTCGTTTGCATGTGACGCCGTCGTTGGCGAGTTAAATCGGCGCAAACCTTCGATGCGATACTTCTTTAGGCGCATGAAGATGATCAAACGGTGTCTGGAGCTTCTTCACCGACCCGGAGAGGCCCGTGAACTCAACAATCTGAGGCGTGCATTTACGGTGCAGGAGTACATAGAAATCCAAACCTTGGCGGGCTGGTACACCCGTTGCAGTGACCTTCAGCCGTAAGCATAATCCTTGACATTCAGATGCTATATTCTCAACCGTCTCTTAGGCCGCTAGTCTGCGACTCGTGCGGCGAATTTATCTTTCGGTCCAGGGTACTCTGCATGGAGTGTGGCCCCGCCCATAGTGTAGACTTCGACGCGAAAGAGGATTGCCTTTGCAGCTCAACATTGGCTAGGGACGACCTCACCACCCCACACCAGCCGACACATCTGCTTTTGAAAACTCGAGACGTTTTGTTTCTTATGGATTATCACTCCGTCAAGAGCAGAGCACTGAATTGCTCAAATTTGGCCGCTGGGTTGTATTCTCGTGCAAGGAAGGTCGTAGGACCGGCTGTAGCTGATGTGGGTGTCTCGTTTTCAGAAGTTCAACCCACGTCTGTCGCTGTCACCGTCGAGGTTGCGATGCCGAACGAGGTGTCTCCTCCAACACTTCCACCCCCTACGACTTCTCGCACCAACAACAATAATTCCAGCACCGAGGTTCCCAAAGCCTGCAGTGACTGTAGCCTCGAGGACCATGCCTTGACATCTCTGCCAGAGAAACCCGCTACGAATTCCCGCAGTGAAGACAGTGCTGGGGAATCCAAGTCGAACTTAAACCCAGCGCCAGCGCCAGCACTCCCAGGCATCGGTCCTGATGGCACAACTTCCCAATTATCTCCCCCCGCCGCAGTCTCCGATGCTGGGGATACGCATGGAACAACTGAGGGCCCTAATTCCGAGCCTACGGTTACCACAGCGGATAGCGAGGACAACGAAAGCATCACGTTGAACTGCCTAATCTGCCACAAGCGAGCTTCCGCGCCATGCTGGTACTGCATTGACTGCCGCCGTGAGTGGCGATCGTCAGTAATAAACTTCCTTGCTAACTCGAAATAAACTAGAATACGACGCGTTCGTTTGCAGTGCCTGCGAGACAGACATCGAACGTCTGTATCCATGGGAGTATCAAAACCGATACCGCAAGGAAGCGCGCGCATCCTCATCTGCCCATAATGTTCTCCATATGCTGATCCGATTCGGCAACACGGAGGGTAAAATACAGGTGGAAGCGGCGAAGACAGTTGAGAGCAGCGAAAACATTACGCCGGAGCAGCAATACGTAGATCGACGGTTGCGCGAAGTCGAGGAGCGGTTAATTCTGCGGATGGAGAAGAATCAGGAACAGGTAGACCAACGGCTTGCGCGGATCGAAGCCCTGCTGCAAGTCCTACCCTCATTAGTGAGTCTCCTGAAGAACGACCACACCTAATATTATGTACACTTTTGTATCAGGATTTTCGCGTTTTCATGTCCAAATTATTGGCAAAAATTCAGCCCTGCGTTATTCAGGTCCCATTTTTCTATGGCCAGCCGACTTTAGATCAGTTCATTTGACCGCATAGCTAGGGAATTGAGGCGCAATTAGATGTGCGTAAATCACGAAAAAAACGCTCTGGGAGGAATAATGCTCGAACGAATTTTTCGAGGGTTGAAAAGAACTTTTCGAAGTCTAGCATGGCGGTGCAGGGCTTCAAATAGAAGTGCTGCCCACGTCTTGACAAGTTCCGTCTGGGAAATGCAATGAACTGAAGAACACCGAAATTAACGCGTTTCCGTCAGATATCTGGCAGCTGGAGCTCGCGTAAAAGGGTTGACGCTTAGCTCGGCGCGCAGCAGGATAAATATGGCTGCGGAAGGACTGACGGTTTGGTGTCCCGCCTACCGTCCGCACAACTGCGTGATCGCCTTTTGGTCTGCCTCTGAATTCCGACTCGGACGGAGTTGAGGGAACTCGCATCAATGCTTCCCTTAGTACGTGCCTGAGCCAAAAGATTGAAGAGCTCAAATAATGCATCGAAGGACAAGCAGATTCCCGGGGCGTTGGGACAGACAGAACAGACCAGAGAGAAGAGGGACAGTCGGGGTTGCCGGATCCGGAGCACGTGCCTTGTGGAAGTTGAAGTTGAAGTTATTGATTCGCAGCGTGCCTTCACATCTATTTTTTTTGAGCCGAGTATGGATCACAGTGCATGTTCAATAAAACGGCAAGTCCAGGATTGAACCGGTTACATGTCCCATAGGACAAAAAAGGTTAATGTGGGCCGCGGCTCAGACTTCAGGCCGTGTGGTGTGGACGATTGATGCAAGGCGGCGCGCCTGTCATCCAGTCGGTTTGGTGCGAGATGAAATCCGAGTCGCAGAGCAGCGGCGAAAAAAAGTCCAAGCCCTGGATGTATATAAATGACCTTTTGAGCTGTGTTTGATTTGAACCAAGTGCGGAGACGTGCTGAAGTTTTGCGAGAACAGCCTGAATCTCCTGACGACGCTCGGAACGTGATGGGGAAAAAAGAGGACAGGAGGCGGAGTCTCGGACCGCGGAGAGAATCCCGCACGGAGATGTAGACCGGAAGAACGCTTCGTGGGCTTGCAGGCGGGATGGAATCCTCACGAAAGTAAGTGCGACAGATTACAAGTCGTGCGAGCGCCGGCGACAAACGAGTCGGCGGCGGTGTTCGGTGCGTTCGACGTGCTCAAAGACCGATGTGGGGCAGCGCTTCGGGATGCTGAGGTTATGAAATCAGGAGCGCACTTGCGGGTTCAGGCGCGAGAATTATTTCAGGTGCGACAGGGAGGATGCTCCGGTGCAGACAGAAGATGCGCTGGTCCCGATCGCTTGAGCCAGCCAGCGGAGCCTCGGATATTGGAGCGCGAAGATCCATGGAAAGCGGGGTGCCGCGAACTTAAATTGCGCACATGAATATCTGGGAGGGCGCTTCGTGAGATGCGAAAATGAAGTCTGCAGTTAAGTCTGCAGTGGAGACGCAAGATCGAGGAGTCTGACAGCCGTTAATGTACCCGGAGAATGCGCAGGCCCTAAATCGCTGCGCGTGTAAGCCGATGAGATGGCAATAACGGGGCCATGTTCGGTTGAGATTGCCTAGAGCATCGCGTGGATAAGTATCGTATGCACGAGGGCATCTTTTCCAGTCGCAAAACAAGGCATGGGCAGATCGAAGATGTAATGCAGATGCCGTGGCAGACAGGGTGAAGTACGCATTGCGACGGCTTGAGAAGTGAAGTCGGTATCTGCAAAGAGTTCCAGCGGGAGAAAGCCTCGGGCTGCTGCGCTAGATGCTTGGGCGGACTTTTGGAATCCTGGTGCAAGAGACACGATTACCCAAAGCAAGTGGAGTAGTCGCCGGCGGGATCTGTGACAATGCCTCCACTAGTACGCTGACACGCAGCGTAGAAAGGCTGAGGAAAGACGAATGTATCCTCCGGATGGTGGGCAGGAGGAAGCGAAAAAGCAAGAGATTAAGCCGGATGTTGCCGGAATCGGAGCAGGATTCAGAGCACGTGCCTCTCCTCGTTGAACTTCAAGTTGAAACCCACACTGCTTCTCAATGAGATAATTTCTCCCGGGTATGTAGATTACACATAAATAATTTTAAGAGCCTCTCTGGGAATGAGCGGTGATACGTCCGCAGAGTAAATACAATAATAATAATAATAATAAAAAGAATTCATTGCTATGGCCTGACCTTGATTCGAACAAGGAATCTCCTGCTGAAAGAGTAACAGACACAAGATATATGAAATCAAGCAGTTGTGTTACCATTACACCACCAGGCCACTCCTTGCCCTCCTCGTGAACTAGATAAATACCAGCATTTGGTCAATGACACAACGAAAAAAATATATTATGAAAAAGTGGATAGCCTGACCTTGAGTCGAACAAGGATCCCCTGCCAAACTGGACTCGGAATTTCTTTATGTAAAGCAGGTGTGTTACCATTACACCACCAGACCATTCCTTGCCCTTCTCTACAGCTAAATAACTGTAAGAGTTTTGTGAACGACACAACAAAAAAAGATTCTGAAAAAGCAAATGGCCTGACCTTGGGTCGAACAAGGATCTTCTGCTAAAGACATTAAATTCCAGAGGAAACTAAAGCAAACATGTTACCACTACACCACCAGGCCTTCCTTACCCTCCTCGTGAACTAGATAAATACCAGTATTTGGTCGACGACACAACGAAATAAATATTATGAAAAAATGAATGGCCTGACCTTGGGTCGAACAAGGATTCTCCTGCTGAAGGTGTACCAGAATATACATATACGAAGCAGACATGTTACCATTACACCACCAGACCCTTCCTTGCCCTCCTCTACAGCTGAATAAGTGCGAGAGTTTTTTTGAATACAATAGGGAAAAAAAGGATTCCTGAAAAAGTAGATGGCCTGACCTTGAGTCGAACAAGGATCCCTTGCTAAACATATTTCTTCCAGGAATAGGTAAAGCAAGGATGTTGCCGTTACACCACCAGACCATTCCTTGCCCTCCTCGTGAACTAGATAAATACCAGCATTTGGTCGACGACAACGAAAAAAAAATGATTCCTGAAAAAGTGGATGGCCTGACCTTGAGTCGAACAAGGATCCCTTGCTAAACATACTTCTTCCAGGAATAGGTAAAGCAAGGATGTTACCATTACACCACCAGGCCCTTCCTGACTCTCCTCGCTAACTAGAGAACTCTGTGAACAACCTCAAAAAAAAGATTTCTGAAAAAGTGAATGGCCTGACCTTGAGTCGAACAAGGAACCCCCACCAAACTTTCGAGAACTTTGGCCCATGTAAAGCAGGTGTGTTACCATTACACCACCAGACCCTTCCTTACTCCCCTTCTACAGCTGAATAACTGTAAGAGTTTTGTGGACGACACAACGAAAAAAAAAAAAATTATGAAAAAGTAGACGGTCTGACCTTGAGTCGAACAAGGATCCCTACTGAAACAACAAGTTGTACATAAATATCAAGCAGGTGTGTTACCACTACACCAACAGGCCTTCCTTATTCTCCTCCACAGCTGAATAAGTGCAAGCATTTTGTGAACGACACAACGAAAAAAAAGGATTTGTGAAAAAGTAAATGGCCTGACCTTGAGTCGAACAAGGAATCTCCTACTGAAAGCAGAAAACTGCGTATATGTAAAGCAGGTGTGTTACCACTACACCACCAGACCATTCCTTACTCTCCTCTACAGCTAAATAACTGTAAGAGTTTTGTGAATAAAACGAAAAAGGATTTCAGAAAAAGTGAATGGCCTGACCTTGAGTCGAACAAGGATCTTCTGCTAAAGACATTAAATTCCAAAGGAAACTAAAGCAAGCATGTTACCATTACACTACCAGCCCCTTCCCTGTCCCCTTCTACAGCTGAACAACTCCAACGATTTATGACCACAATGGGAACAATGGGAACAAAAAAGCTCGAGCAGTGCTATGGCCTGCCCTCGAGTCGAACGAGGCACCCCCGCCGAACCTGATTTCACGCATGGGTAGGTAGGGCGGGTGTGTTGCCGTTGCACCAGCGGGCCGTGTTGTGTGTCGCACAGCTAGTGATGAGTGTAGCTCGGACTAGGGCGCGGTGGTTGGTCGAGAACAAGCGGGTCTTAATTTAACGGATGGCTTCGAATCGGTACATGTTACATTACCGCAGCCTCAAATATATATATAAAGTCCTCCGAGTCGTTGGTATGTGCCGACAGCCGCAGAGAGAGGGCGGACTCGCGGAATCGGGGAGCCAGGAGGTGGGAATTGGGAATTGGAATTGGAATCGTGCGGCAGGCGGGCGAGTGGTGGCTGGGTGTCGAGCCCGGAGCTCCGGGCGCGGTGGAGGGGTGTGGTGCGGGCGCGCGCGCACGAGGGGACGTGTGCGGAACGCCGTCGCCGGCGCGCGAGCGGAGACCGTGGGGTTGGTTGGTGCCCCGCGCGAATTGAGATTGTGGCGCACGGTGCGCGCCTGCATCTGGGGCAGACATACGTACCTAGTGAGCAGCTGGAGCTGTAAGCGGAAGGCGGAGACGCGCTAGAATAACACAGATGCCGCCGCGCCAAGGCAGCGTGAGTCGAGATCAAGGCGTAGGTAGGAGGGCCCGACGAAAATGCTGCGCGGAACACGGGTCAGATATCGATATCCAGAAAAAGCTGCTGTTGAATTGGAATCCGCCATACAGTACGTCCGGCGCAGGCTGACGCGCGTACGGTTGTTCAGAGTCATCCTTTCGAGACTGAGTCGGTCCCAGCGACAGAATATGAATCATTTAGGCGCGGTGGACAGCTCCGACTTGACAATCGACGAGCCGCTGCGAGTTCAAGAGATTCTCTCTATCCAGCACGGATCCATCACTCAGTCGAGCGTTTACGTCGCCACTGAGATGAAATTCAGACATGCGAGATGGCGGGGAAAGACAAGAATAAGCCTGCACGTGATCCACATACGTGTGTCATCACCGCTGCCGCGCTGCGCAGCCTCCTCAATTCCCACATCTTGACCACCACCACCGTACGCCTTTGTCGTGCACTTTCTCTGCTCCCGCTCACATTTCGCGCAGTTGTAATACCGTATGAAGCTTTCTATTGTTCCTATCGTCGTGGCGAGCGCTGGTCTCCGTGAGCCCCTCTGCTCCAAGCCACTTACTTGCGGATGTTGATGTGCGGCGACAGTGGCCAGCGCGAGCCCGATGCGCGTCGTCGTCGTCTCGTCGAGCGAACCGATGCGTGTGCCCATGGCGCCGCCCGTCGACCCGCACGCCGGGCCCATCCTCAACGTCGTCCCGCACGCCAAGCCCTGCGGCGGCGCCCGCCTGCGCCAGAAGGCCATCAGCTTCGCGAGCGCCTTCCGCCTTGCGCTGGGCTTCGGCTCTGACTCCGACAAGGAGAAGGAGGCGTTCAAGACGCTGCCGTTCCTCACGCCCGGCCCCGTGCGGGTGGAGGACGCCAAGGCTTTCGACGACCGCATTCGCTTTGAAATGGCGAATATGAGGGACGGCAAGACCGCCGGCGGCGACCGCCTGCGCATCGTCAATCTGCACCCCGCGCGCCCGCAGGACGGCCCCGTCCGCGTGCACCACCACCACGCCCACGGGCGCTTCCACCACAAGGAGCGCTCGTTCCTCATGCGCGTGCACTTTGCGCTCATGAGCCTTGGCCCGTGGGAGGGGAGAGCTGTGGCCTTTGTTCTTGGTGAGTTTCCGTCCTTCCTTCTTGCGTTTCCCTTTGTCGTCACCCGTCCGCGTTCCCCGTCGTGATCCCATACGTCTCGGTATCCTTATCGCCGTCTTCAACCCCCACCCTCACCTTCCCTCCCCGTCGTCACCCGTCCCCTCGTCACCCTACGCTGATCGCCGTCTCCCTCCCTCCGCGTCCCTTCCTCATCCTTATCGCCGCCCCGTCCCCGCTGTCTCCCTTCCTCCCTCCCACTCCCACCTCCCACTACTCCCTTCTCCTTTGTGACCCTCTTGTCGTGTCCCGCTCTCTTGCTTACTGATGCTGGCTACTCCACAGGCTGCGGCATCGGCGTCCTCCTGCGCATGTTCTTCGTCCTCACCGTCCTCGCCGTCCGCGTCCTCCGCGGCTCCAATTCCTCGTGGACCACGTACCCCGGCGCCGGCGAGCACGAGTACCTCATCGTCGGCGAGGACGCCGAGGAGATCTTCGTCGCGCCGCCCGTGTACACGACGGGCTACCCCGTGGAGAAGGCGGAGGCGGAGGCGCCCGTCGAGGCCAAGTAGACGCCTGCTGGGCGCTCCGCACCGTCCGCGATCTATCGTCTATACATCCCCGTCCCCACCATCACCTACCCTATCCTGATTCCAATTCCGCGTTCTGATTCTGATTGTGATACGATAACCGCCCCCGATTCCGAATCTGTCCTGAATATACTTAGTTCCTAGTCGCTCGCACAGCTTACCTCCTTAGTCGCTCACACAGCACGGACTCCGTAACCGTAACCGTAACCGTAAACCGTTTTGGTTCCTTGTGTATCTCTTTGTGTGTGTTTTTAGGACGGCTGAGCGCGGACGCATGTAACCAAGTGCGGAACCGGAACGTGGCTGTGCTGATGGCGCGTCAACGCTCCCGACGCGCGGGCTGCGATGAGCTCTTGTTCGTCTCGAGCGGTGGCTGTGCTGATGGCGCATCGGCGCTCCCGACGCACGTGTTGCGATGAGCTCCTCGAACGCGCGATTTGTGCGTATATATCGTACAGCAGTTGAATCGCCTCCGCTGGCTGTGCAGTGTCGTGATCATGACCAACAATCGATGCTTGCGTGTCTCGACCATGGCGGTTGGCTTGCGAGACTAGGGTGATTTGAGTCTGTTCCTACAGGTAGATAGATATAGCACTCATGGGTGTGAGGTAGAGTATGGGCCTGGTGGTGGAGTGGTACCACACCTGCTTTCCATGCGAGTTTAATAATGAACACTTTCTGCGGGGGATCCTTGTTCGAGTCAAGGTCAGGCCATCAATAATTTGCCCATTTCTTTTTTTTTCCACCTGCTTCACAGAAAATCAAAGTAAGCTGGTTCGTGTGGGGGAGGCTTGAAGAGATGGTTTGGCAAATTGGTGGTGGAGTGGTAACACACCTGCTTTACATATCCAGGTACCATCTTTTCAGCAGAAGATCCTTGTTCGATTCAAGGTCAGGCCATTATCTTTTTCGTTGAGTCAATTTTTCCTCTCCGTTGTTCGAGGAATTCGAGGTAATGTATTCAGTTTTGCGGAGAGGAAGAGATGTGGTCTGGTGGTGTAATGGTAACATGCCTGCTTTATATGTCCCATGGATGCTCGATGCTTTGGCAGGGGATTCCTTGTTCGACTCAAGGCCAGGCCATACCTTTTTCGTTATTTTGTTGATTTTTCCCTCTCTCTGTCGTTCGAGGAACTCAACATGATATATTCAGTGCAGAGGGGAGTATGGCCTGGTGGTGTAGTGGTAACACACCTGCTTTACATATATGTGGCAAGTGAATGTTTTCTGCAGGAGATCCTTGTTCGACTCGAGGTCAGGCCATCGCTTTTTTCTTGATAAGTTTTTTCTTGTCATTCTGGAGGAATTCGAAGCACGTATTTTATTCACAGTTGGGAGGAATTAGAGATGAGATGGGTCCGGTGGTGGAATGGTAACACACCTAATTTCTGTAAGCAATGAATTTGGTTCTTAAGTGGGAGATCCTTGTTCAACTCGAGGTCAGGCTATTCATTTTTTTAGTTGTTTTGCTGATCATGATTTTTCTGTCGGTTGTTCGAGGAACTCAAAGTAATGTATTCAGTGCTGCGGAGAGGGAGAGTTATGGCCTGGTGGTGTAGTGGTAATGCACCTGCTCTACATCAGATAGCGACGAAAGGCTTCAGCAGGGGATCCTTGTTCGAATCAAGGCCAGGCCATACCTTTTTCCGTTGTGTGCTACATTTCTTTTTCTCGGATGTGTGAGGAACTCAAAGTAATGTAATTTGTTTGCAGAGAGAAAGAGATAAAGCCTGGTGGTGTAGTGGTAACACACCTGCTTTGTATTAGCCACCAGTTGTGAAAGACTTTAGCAGAGGATCCTTGTTTGACTCGAGGTCAGGCTATTCATTTTTTAGTTGTTTTGCTGATTTTTTCTGTCGGTTGTTCGAGGAACTCAAGATAATGTAATTCGTTTGCAGAGAGAAAGAGATATGGTCTGGTGGTGTAGTGGTAACACCCCTGCTTTACATAAGAGAATCGGTATCTGGTTTCAGCAGGAGATCTCTTGTTCGACTCAAGGTCAGGCCATGCCTTTTTGGTTCCTTTGCTGCTTTGTTTTCATTTTTTTCTATTTTCTCTCCAGACATGTCACCATCACTCCTACTTTCTTTCACTCCATAGCTGCGATATCGCTCAACGATGCAATGTGAATTTCAGCTTCAACTTGAACTTCAACGAGCAAAGGCACGTGTTCCGGAGCCGGGATCCGGAAACGCCCGACTTTGTCTCCTTTATCCGCTTTTCCTTGTTTTGCCCCACTGGGCGGGGATCTACTTATTTCTAGCCTTTTCCTGCTACTCTTCAGTCTGCTCGTCGAGAGATCCTAGCTGAGAGGCTCGGAAATCACGAGTACCGTCGGATTGAAACTTCACTGCAAGAGCTCTGGGAAAGCACGGCTCTTGCATTCCACAATCTCGGGATCCCAAAACGCCACCGCGGCCAGTGCCCCACCTTGATGCTTCGAGCCCTCGGTGTCACGGTGTCAATCTTTCGAATTATGGTCCATTTCAAGCTCTGCCCTCGTATCTCCTGTCTCATGCCTATGTCTCACATATGTGTCCTTCCATCTATCCACGGACACATGCGCAATTTGTGTGGCGTCCGACTGACTTATCGCTCCCGTCCGAGAACTTCAATTGCTCCGCTGGAACTTCCGTTTTAAGCTGCTCAGCTCGTCACTGGCAAAGACTCTTGTCCAGGGTCCCACTAATACTTGCCCCGCATCGAACACAACTCGCTTGTCCATAATAATCTTGCAACTCTAGTCTTCAGATCCCTTTGCGACGCCTCCTCACTCCCGAGGCGCTTGACGCGCCAGCTACGAACCTAAGATGCGCCCTGCATCGATTCGTGGCATCACACGGCTTCACGTTCTGTGCTTGCCAACTTGAACGCTTTGACGCACTGCTGCAGTGCGATGTACCTCTCGGAATCTCTCAAGTCGGAACGCATCCGATTGCAGCATCTCTCGAAGGATCACGCTCAGGCTGAAGCCGTCCCCTATATTCAAGCCGCAAGAGGCACCAATTGAGATGCCCACTATTATATTTGCTTCCTCGCTGCCCGCGCCGTCCTGTCCTAATTATTTACATTCCACGCGTTCCCAACGTGGCCCCGTTTTAGCGCCTTGGATGCTCTCGCGTTGCGAACGCACCCGCACTCGCCACCGTCTACGAGCTTGCTAAGCTGCTGGGATCGCGTGACGCATCGGTTCTTCAAGTTGGTAAAATTGGACCGCATCGACTAGAGCTGCCTCTATGGAGCCCCGTGTTCGTGCCTGATTCCGAACTACACCGCTGCAGAGTAATGAGCAAGAATCTGCCTATTACTTCGGCCCTCGTCTACCGAGAAATGACAACATCAGCAAGACTATTTCCAGAACTTCGTCAATCTATCAAGAAAAGAAAGAAGCGCCATGGCCATTAGGGCAGTGCGGTGCACAGCATCAACAACGGCTTCCCGTTCCCTCTCCGACCTCTGCGCCCCGCTCACCATGCCATTCTTCGCCTCCAGCTCTGGGGTGCAAATAAATGGCGGCAATTTCTATGATATCGGGGGGAACATGAATCTCCAGAGCCTCAGGCAGCCAGAGACCGATCCGCTAATGGCCCTTCACTTGAGCGCGGCTCCGAATACCAATCGTCCGTTAGTGGGACCAGACCGACGCGACCGACATGCGGGGTCTACGAGGATGCTGCCGTATGGTGCGTTCCACGCTCGTTCGGGTTGATATATATATTTAACACGGCGGAAGATATTTCCCACCGTCCGCAGATTGGGCGACATTCCGATGACCTCCATGGGCCTCCTACGACGACCGAAACGACGTTGCTTTCATCGGTCTCGGAGGCTGGCCCGATCCCGGAGATTGCCGTATCCGCGTTTTTGCCCTTGGATCTCGAACTCGATCAACCGTATGCAAGAGATTACCATACAACCAACAACGATCCATATCCTAGCCCGGCGAACCATAGGCTCAGCGAGTATCCGCCCGTGCGTCGCCCAATTTCAGAAGAAATTAGGTCGCCTTTCCCCGACAATCAGGGTTGGTCCACGACAACCTCATCTGTGTTAGTTCCAGCACCGTCAAATCCTGGTCTATCTCAGTCACCTTACCAATATGGAGTTCAGTATCTTTCCAGCACGACCTGGGGTGGGTCCGGATGGGGAGAACTGCCCAGTAATCCTTACCCTCCGCCTGATCTCACCGGTGATGCCAGTGAGCATCCCCTGGCTCTGTCTGCCTTTCCTGCCTGGGATCGTCCTCGACACGAGCCTCAAACCAACATCAACGGTGGGACATTCATAAGCACCCATGGGGATGTGAACCACATACAGCGCCACGGCGAACCAGGTGAGCGGCCTCTCTGGCATCGAGGATGCAACTAAATTTCCGAAGGCCTACATATCCTCTATGGTGCAGGAGCCAACGATGCCTCCCACGATGCAGGAGAGAGATACCCACAGCCCCAGTGCCATCCTAAAACCCGGACGCAGATGTTGGATGATCTTCATGCCTGGTCCTCCGAGCCCAATCCAAAGCGCAGAATCCTTTGGCTGCACGGTCCCGCCGGTGCCGGGAAGTCCGCCATCGCATAGTCCTTCTGCCAGAGGCTAGAGGCAGAAGGCCGCCTCGGCGGAAGCTTCTTCTTTAAACGCGGACATGTTTCGCGCGGAAAGGGCAACAAGCTGTTCCCAACCCTTGCATATCAACTTGCCGTTCTGCTCCCCGAATTCAAGCGTGTCGTCTCCGAGCGCATGGAGCACGACCCATCACCCGTCCACAAATCTCTCTGAATCTCGACACAGCTGCAGCGGTTGATCGTGGAGCCATATCGAGACAGTACTCCATCGGGAATTCCTTCCTCGAATCACATCTTCCTCTTAGCTTTCTCATTGCCAGCAGACGGGAACCTCACATTGACGAAGTTTTCCGAGAACCGTACCTGGCTGGTTCCCATCGTCCTTTGAACATCAAGCAATCATTCGAGGATGTCCGTAAATATCTACGCCATGAATTTGCCCGCATTCATCGGGAGCACCACGAAACTATGGGTACGGTTCCCAAACCGTGGCCTTCGGCGCAAGTTGTCCAAGGTCTTGTCGAGAGATCCTCGGGATATTTCATCTCTACGCATCTACGATCATCAAGTTCGTTGATGATAAAGACTTTCGCCCGACAGACCGTCTCGGCGTCATTTTGGGCATCACAGCATTGGACGCTGGGTCTGGATCGCCGTTCAGCGCTCTCGACCAACTGTACACTCAAATCCTCTCTGACGTCCCTGCACGGCCTCAAGTTGTCAGAATTTTAACTTTTGTTGCTGCCGGCCTGCAGCACTCCACAGTGGGTATTCCCAAAATTGAACAGCTTCTCCAGTTGCGGTCAGGGGACGTGCGATTGACCTTGCGGCGCTTGCAATCCGTGATTGAATTACCGTTGACGGAGGATGCGCCGCTCACTGTACACCATGCTTCATTCCTCGATTTCCTCTGGGACCCACTGCGCTCAGGCACCTTTTGCGCTTCGACCTTCGAGCACCGCGCAGACTTGGCCCGCCATGTCCTCACGGCATTGTCAAACGCGCACACTGATCCGTCGCTGAATCGAAATGGCGGTCATGTCGCTTGGTATTGCAATTCATCTCGGGCAATGAAAATTTGACTAAATCTCCATATTGCAGGGAACTTGGCAAGCCTGCCCTCAAAGCCCTCGCGTGGGCTTGGCCGTCTCCTGATCTTTTGTCTCTGTTCCGATCCTTGAATCCAGATTTTTTCTTTCACAAATCGTACCGCGAATTTCATGAACTGGTAGCTATAATCTTGGCTTGGCTGGGAGTAAGTTGTACTTAAATTCAGTCGAATTTTCTGTGATTGACCCTAGCTGTAGACAGCTCAGCCACTGCCTGAGGATTTGATCCAGCTTTGGGAGGACTACCGGTTCATCCGTCAGTGTGACCATATTTGGTCTCAAATTCCAAAATCTGCATTTACCAGTACACACCAAGAACCACAAAAGTTCTATAACATCTTATCACAAGCCCCCACGCATCTTCTTGAAATCCTTCGCGCATACAGCATTGCTAGCCATCACCATGCATTTTTCAACGAAGCTGTTCCTGACACCGACTCGCTTTTCCACATTCGTCTTTGGGTAGATCTCTCATGGGAAGACCTGAAGGCTGCTCTCCGCCCTCTTTCCAAAATGCTAGGCGAGGATGAAGAAGGGATTCGTCGACTGTTAATTGCCGCGTCAGATCTGACAATCTGTCAGGAGCTTCAGTTCAACTCGGGATTGCAGGACGTCGATATCGTCGGCCGGTGTCTACGCATTGTGAGGAAAATTGAGGCTCATGAATTACCCTGGCACTTCATGTGAGTCAATTCTCATGCATTCGGTGCAGGACCATCCCATGTAACACGTACTAGGCCATCTAACGTGGCGTGGAGTCGCATTTTGAGATCATGCAAACCTTGTCCCGACCTTCTGCGCGAAATTGAGGTTGCCGCCTCAAGTTTTGTCCTTGACTGGGAAAGTTTAGACAATACTTTGCAATGGCTCAAGGTAAATGTTTTATACCGCACTGCGAACCCATTCATTTATAACATATTCAGAGTTTCCCTCATCGGCCACGTCAGTTGATCGAACACTTTGAAA